GCGTCGTGTAAACATAAAACCATGTCTGCATTTGTGATCAGAGAAATGACAAACAACAAGCGCTACTCTAAACTGCTCAAAACTCACGTTTGAATCGTCAGTGGCAAATTCTTTAAATATGAAACCGTACTTACAGTCTCTGAGTCAGAACAGCCGGCATTGTAGTCTACTCTCCCAGGATCAGGAAACAGTCCTCCATAAAATGTGCTGCACACATCTGAATATTTGGATTGAACTGTTCTGGAACAGTGTTGTAAATACAACTTGACCACTGATTTCTAATCGTGTCCTCTTTTGGAAGGCCAAACAAAGTAACGAAACACACAGCGTCTTCACAACATGGCGGCGGCGGCAACAATAAAGTTACGTTCTCTGCGTGAACATTTGGGCGGCGTTCTGCAAATCTTCCCACATTGTGACGTAGACATGTGGGGGCGTGTTTAAACGAGGCGTTTTAGGACGCCGTGGACATGCTTAACTTTTATAAAGAATATCTCTTTGGATTTGAGACTTTAGTCTGTGCAACTTTAGGGATCTTATGTATGCACGAACAGCTTGTAACACTCCAAAGAGAAGGGAAACTTGAAATCGCATCGTATGACCCCTTTAACACACTCTGATTCATATCAAATAGCCATAGTTTCTCTATTGAGAGACAAACATTACTAAACTGCTTTGGAACATATAGAAGATACATACTTTAAATGACTACATTGTTAATATATGGGTTCTTGCTTTTTTATATTAGACAGTGTAAAAGGGGAAATCCCTGAAGTGAGCGAGCACTAAAGACTAATTAGCCTAGTACCTAGGATGCTTTTTTGTCAAGATATTGGAAGAAACCATTTTACCTCTGTTGCCTCTGGTTTTCATATCTAAAAACTTACAGACTTTTTCTCTCTTAAGGTCAAGGACCAGCACACAGAGAATATACACATTAAAACCAGTTCAAAGTGCTCTCTCACCCCGGGATCAGAGTATTCTGACTTTATATCTCGCAATTCTGACTTTATATCTCGCAAT